ACCCTTCTATTTTGCCACACCATGGTACATGTGTGCTCATCTACAAATGTGTTAATTCTAAGACTCTTGTCGGGTTGTTGGTATGCATACAAAACCCAAGGACAATTATCTTGACACCGAACTCTCAACTGTGTCCTCATATATTTCACGTATCTCAGTTGCCTGGAATTTTTGACTGAGTATTGAACTACTACATTCCTTAGAATCTTGACGTTGTCGAATTTCATCCCTGGCAGAAATGAATTAAACCAGAATGCATTATCATCCAAATGAATAACCAGAAATGAATTACACAAAATAGTGGACATTACCTAGCTTGAACTGTGGATCTTCCATATCAGTTGCAGGGTTAAACCAGCACACATTCTTCCTTCTGGCAGATGATCCCTCAGCCTCGGTATCACTGGGTAAGCTTCTAAGCTCACCGGAGTCTTCGTATTCTGTTCCAGATTCTTCCCCAGTAGCTGCCTCCCCTTCCTGCACATCCCTTACACCTTCCTGCTCACCACTTGCACCAATGTCAAAACTTTCACTCAACCTGAAATATGTGTTTTCATCATTATCCTCCACAGTAATATTTTCTTCCTGCTCGTACTCCGAGTCAGTGAATTCCTCTCCCAAAATACCCTCCTCATATTCATCATCCAGCTTAGGACCTTTACCAAATTCCACATCAGTTTCAGCAGCCTGCACCTCTGGTTCGGCATCATGCAACTCATGTTCAGCAGCTTGCGCCTTTTGTTCAGCAACATGCAACTCCTACTGAGCCTGCTGCTGTGGTCCAAAAGCATGCACATCAATTTCAGCAGGCTGCACCTCTGCTTCGACATCATGTTCAGCAGCCTGCGCCTCTTGTTCAGCAGCATGCAGCTCCTGCTGAGCCTGCTGCTGTGGTTCAGCATCATGCAACTCATGTTCAGACCTCAAATGTAGTTCAACATCATGTGGTTTCTCTGGTTTAGCAGCATGCACTTCTGATTCATGTGAGTCTACTTCAGCCCCTATAAAATCAACCTCTGTATACTCATGCTCTGTTCCA